TGAAGACAAAATAAAGTCCGAAATTTTTTTTTTACATAATAAAGTAGATTACATTAGCTTTAATTTAATATATATATAAAAGTGTCAGACTTTCCGGAACACTCTCAAAATTTAAGTTGAAAAAGTCAATTTTTTGTGAAAAATTTATCATTTTGAATCCCCCCCCTGTAGGCAGGTAAAAAGTCAGATTTATAAAAAAAATATACCAAATGATAGGTAAAGACATCATGCATCTACAAAAAAAAGAATTATATTGATCCATACATCTTTCAAAAAGTTATAGCATTATAAAGTTAAAAATATAAAAAAGAATTTTTTTACAAAAATCGTATTTTTTTTATTAAGTTTAATGTCTATTTTCACCATGAAGATAAAATAAAGTCCGAAATTTTTTTTTACCATTATAAAGTATATTACATTAGCTTTAATTTAAGATATATATAAAAGTGTCAGACCTTCCGGAACACTTTCAAAAGTTAAGTTGAAAAAGTTCCACTTTCTATATGCATGTTTATGTTTTGAATCCACCCTGTGTTAAGGGAAATGATCCGATTAAAAAAAAAAGTATGTCGAATGAAAGATCTATATAAATACTACTTCTCATAAAAAAATTGTAATGATCCATACATTTTTCAAAAGTTATAGCATAATAAAGTTAAAAATGTAAAATACAAAATCGAAAATTTTCACATAAAAATAGCATTTGGTAGCCATTTTCACCCTGAAGACAAAATAAAGTCCGAAATTTTTTTTTTACATAATAAATTAGATTACATTAGCTTTAATTTAAAATATATATAAAAGTGTCTTAAACTTTCAAAAGTTAAGTTGAAAAAGTCAATTTTTTGTGAAAAATTTGTCATTTTGAATCCCTCCCCTGTAGCCAGGTAAAAAGTCAGATTTATAAAAAAAATATACCAAATGATAGGTAATGACATCATGCATCTATAGAAAAAAGAATTATATTGATATGTTTATTTTTAAAAATGTTACAGTAGTTTTTAGTAAAAAAAATTGAAAAAATTTCGAAAATTAGCCATTTTTAAATTTGTAATTTTTTTGGAGGTTTCCCCCATTTACGGGGAACGAGGGAATTTTTTTCAATTTTTGAGGGTAGTGTCTTCGACTAGATACGATTTGTGATCTTTTGACGTATCATTGAAAGAAATCGGTTCGGTGAGAGCTGAGAAAAAGTGGTAACAGACACAAAAAAAAAAAAAACACATCTTAGTAAAATCAATACCTTCTCAGCTTCGCATCGAAGCTAAAAAGAGTCTAAATTTTCAGAGAAGGAAATAATAGCAAATTAAAAAGTCTAGTTTGTAGAGTGATAGTAGTTTTATGAATTTATAGACTAGTGATTATAAATATTATGAATAGTGAGAATTAAAAAAAAAATTTTATGTAGAATTAAATTGGACTAAATGATAGCTTTTTCAAAAATACTAAACAATATTATAGCTCACAAAATGCAAAAGAAGAATTGCAATTTTGTTTATTATACTCTTCTAGAGATTAACTAAAACAGGACAATGCGCTATTGAGAAATGAAATATAGTATGTGTAATAATGTGGAATATGTTGCAATATATTATACGTGCAATTGCTGGAAAAACAATGTAAAACGTGTTGTTTGACAAACGTTTTTTGTCATTATATTTTAGGTGTGTGAAATATTCAGTATATCCTTTGTTAAACTATTAAATGAGGTAATATAAAAATAGGAATGGTTAATTTTTTCGCGCGGATAATTTTAGGCCTTGATTGAACCCATGTTACTCTTTCACAATATATTAATCATTTATAATAATATAATACAAATTAAATTTTTTAACAATATATGTACATATATAATAGTAAATAAATGTTCATTGAAAATAAAAATACCGTACAAAATAGTTTAAAAATAACAAATTAATTATTTCATCGTTGTTGTTATGTATTATTAGAAGTCTGGGCCACCTCCTCGTCCACCAAACTCAAAAGCATAACCGGCTCCAAAAGCTGGCCCATTATCAGTGGGTTCTGCTTTACTGGCAAAACTTGCTGCCGTATTGTATTCTCCACTATAATCGCCATCGTCCTTTAAGTTAAATGTGCCTAATTCAGCACTACGTTCTAAATCTTCATGTACTCTATAACCGCTTTCAGACAACGATGATCGACCGCTAAAACCACCTGGCGCATTGTAGGAAACCGACGGTGCTGGAGGAGCACGGAATCTATAAAAGTATTTTATTATATTTTTTTATTGAAAAGCAAAACTCAAAGAAATTATATTTGCTTAATTTTTCTGCTAGTTGCGCCTCTGATAATTTAGTGTAATTTACAAAAAATTACGCCAAAATATGTTATAATTGATAAAAATTAATATTTATTGTATTTACTTTATGCCGGAACTCTTCTTGCGTGTAACTGGAGCTATTGGAGAAGAATATGACAGTTTCTGAGGTGCAGATCCGTAATTATTATCTTCTTCTCCTCCTGTCAATATTCTAAATCCGTCTTTGCCGGCTGTGTACTTGACATTTACTTGAACTCCATCGGGCGAGGTGTATGAATAAGCTCCTGTTCGACTACCATCAGGAGCTATACTTTCTGCACGTTGCTGCCCGTCTTCACCAGCAAAAGCAAATCTTACTGCACCGTCAGGATCCACCTGTTGTCTGTGTAATACTATGGCGGCGGAAGTTTGTTTTTTATCGTTGCGATAACCATGGTTATCCGAATCAAAACTTCCTGCAGATACAACCACCGTCCAATAACACAATACAAATGTTGCTTTTGTTCTAACCATGATAAACTAAAAATTAATTTAAGACAATGATAAATATTGTTAAAATTTTATTTTTACACTTTAATATATATGCATTTTTTTGTATCTTAATTACTTTTTATAATATTTTTATTGTGCTAATTGAATAATCAATTTACAAATTGTGTGAAAAAATTATAACGACTTATTTTTTTAATGTTGGTATAGATATTATTTTATTTAAATTTCTGTTGTGGTAATTCAAATGTTCTTACTTCATGTTAATATCTTGATAAATTTATTTTAATATTTTAAAAGTAAAACGATTTCTACTGACTTAAAAATTTCAATCGACATAAAATCAATTTTTCATTTAACTGGGTTTTCAATAAGGCATTTAATATGAATTATAATAACAGAGTTCCAGAGTAAAAAAATGATGTGACACTAATAATCATTAAAAAAATATTTTAGATTAAAGAACAGAAATTAAATTTAAAAGAAGTGTCCTGGACCTATACGTATCATTGGTGAATTTAGGCTTTTGTTTTGGGGGTGTGAAATTTATCATTGCCTTCTTAAAACAAAGAATAATTGCATCATCAATATGGAATAATTTTTACTAGGACATTTATCCCTCTAAACCAGTAGTCGGCAACCGGCGGCCCGCGGGCCGTATCCGGCCTGCGTAGCTATTGAATACGGCCCGCTTTAAATTCTAAATCGACTAATTTAATTGAATATCATTTTGTATAAATATAATTGAACGTTGCGTTTTTGGTACGGGTATTTTATATAAGTCATATTATTATTTTAAGTTTTAGATAGTATTTTTTTGCATAATAAATAATGTAATTATAAATTTTTTTTTTTTATCTGGCCCGCGAACTCTTTTTAATTTGTAAATGTGGCCCGAGAATTAAAAAAGGTTGCCGACCACTGCTCTAAACAATATCTCTCCTAAAACAGGTGCTCCGTAATACGTAGAGCACTGTTCAAAAGCTATTGTCTACAATATAGCATTGCTCAGCTATGTTGAAAATACTTATTTAGAATATTTATTCGAATAATTAAAAGAAAAAGTATTTAAATATAAATATAAATATTTTGGAATACTTTTTTTTTAAATCACTTATTTTTAAAAATGAATTCATAAAAATTTCAAATTTGAAAAAGAAGTTTATCTTTATATTAGAAAAATTGTATAAATTATCTTATACCCATTTTAACAAAATGCAAGCGATTATAGAAGGAAAATAAAAAAGCATTGACTTTTGCAAAATTGGCAATTTTAATGACAAAGTATTTGACCCCTAATTTTTTTCTAAGATCAATAAAAAAAAAATGAATGAGTTCATCTCAATAGCAAAAATGGTTAAATTCAAATTAAAAATGATTTTTAGTGATAAAGCGTGTTAATACTTTTATTCTTATAAATAAATATAATCTACAAAAAATAACGCAATTATAAATGAAAATTATTTAAATACTAATACTTGTAAAAAATTATTTAGAATACTAAAAAATATTTAAATTATTTTATTTTATTATAAGTATTCGAATACTTTAACAAGACTGGGACTTTATATGAAAGTGCGTGGAAAACAAATGAAAAATTCGATATATCTGAATAAGAAATGTTTGGGTTAGAGTTTTTTTGATATTGTCTACGAGTTACTAGCCTCATTATTAATGTATTATGAAAATCTCCTATTCAATAATATTGTATATTTATATGTGTAATTAAAATTACAAAAAGATAAATTATCAAAAAAAACTAAAGTTTAAATCATCTCTTTATTTATCTAGATGAGTTAGCAATCATTTAGATCTAATATAGCAATTACACTCACCTTAGTTAAGTTATCCTTGTTTAATTATAGTATATTCCGTACCTTAAAAACACTCTTTCCGCTTAATTAAACGTTAACTATCGATAAAATTAATGAAATGTAAACAATGAATTTTGAAAAAATTCTTCTATGTATATTTTTATGCTTGCAATGACATAGCTGTTATCGAGGGTTTTTTATATATACTAAGAAACTCAGCCCCGCCGACGCGTGAAAGTGAACCACTTCGGCCTATCTAATAACAGAGTAAAGCGGCAAACACGGTTGCGATATGCCAATATTTATGTTGGTTTATTGTATCTTTTTGCATTGTATTAGCTATGGTGTATAACCATTGAGGTGTACCTTGGCGAGTGTCTTATATAAATGCATATATGCTCAATGTTTTTTAATTTTATTCTCAAATATGTACACAAGTAACTATACACAAACAAAAATTGCCATGTATTATATACCTGAGACTTTGGACCAGTTTCATTGTCACAATCATTATACACATCACAATTACAAATTTTCACAAATTAAATAAAATTCAATATTTATTTAATTTGTAGTGGACGTGTAAACATGGAGTTAAAATAACAATGTCCATTGCCTGGTTTTTACGGTTGATCTATATTAATGCCAATTATGTGTATGTTTTCTCTGAAATCCATTTACTTGTGTCCATTGATGTATAGCTAAGCACGTAGCTGTGTAACGCGGTTAAATGTATTGTGCGTGAACTCGGGTGACTTTAATAAGTGCCAGAGTACACCAGCTCGAGATTACCGGAAAATTCCAAGTGGTTTTTCTTGCGGTTGATGGGACTAACTAGAGATTATATAACTTTATCGGTTTTTCAATAACGAATATTAAAAAATGTTACGGGTCATTACCGCATAAATATAATAACGATCCGGGATAATTCAATAATACAGAATGCGACATGTGATATAAGAAATAATAACGACATCCGCAACTAATTTTGGAAGATAGAATATGAAAATAATCATAATATACATATATATATATATATATATTAAGACAATGTTCTTAATGTTTGGAGCATATAATGTCGTACTCATGTGAAGTTATATTACACATAATTGTATTCTCGTCATCATTATTGAAATAAATATTTATAATTTTATATAATGTACATCTTTAGTGGTTTATTTTAAGCTTAAATATTTTATATTTAAACATAAATATATATATTTTTTAATTGGAACAGAAAAAATATGAAAAATCAAATTCAATTAATACTTGAACTGTTTTAATTTATAATAAGAAGATTGTTCTTTCAAATCATAGATAATAAAAAAATTAAATAAGTTTTATCCTAGAAATTGTTTTATAAAATCACATTTTTTAAACTCATTTTACTATACTATAAAATTTTTAGTAGATGGTAACTATATGAGTCATAGTATTAAATTGATCCAACAATTAAACAAAAAAAAAACCCCCATTAAATAATATTTATTTTTCTTTTGTTTATATTATATGCTTGTAAATAAATTTACTCGCATTAAATTTTATTTTTTACAATATATTCGACCGACATGATTGCATGACTCGTGTGTGATAATTTGTACATTGCCCAATTTATTCGGGTATTGTACATTTTATTGCAATCAAGTCATAGTACACTATTGCTGATTTGGCCATAACATATATTGTCGAAATATTAGTCATAAAATATATTGACTATTTATCTGAAAGTAGAGGAGGGGTCTATTAAACATAGCTACCATGACGACTAAGCCTATACTGTGTATATTGTTCGAACATGAGTGAATAAGTTTTTATTTATAGATCAAACAAGGTCAAATTACCTATCAATTACACTAATCATATTCATAATTTATTTTTTATCAGATGATATAAAATACAGTAAATTTACTTTGATACTTTGAACACATAGTATATAAATTCTACTAGTTTTTAAAATAAAAGAAATTAATAAACTTATTTTTCATTTCAATGTTTTTCAATAAATAAATAAATTAATAAATAGTCTAAAAATTTAAGTAGTGGAAACAAATACAACTTTTAAGGTAAACACATTTTTTATAACAATTACAACATCGTTCAGTTTTAAGCTTTAAAATTTCCATGAGTAAATTCTCACGTTATAACTTTAATTTTGCGATAAAGTAAACAAAGAATGGAAATACTAAGTCAGTTTTATAAGGTATCATCCATGTATTTTTACATAATATTTATCTCATAAAAGTATTGGATAATAGTTGATAAAAATGTTTAAAGTCTAAAACTTGGTTAAAAAAAATTGTAGTGGAGACTGGGGGAACTACGGTAACCTTAGCAAAAATTGTTATATATCTGGTTCTAAGACTCTAAATGTTATGCTATTACAACAAATGGATGCATAAACATATTGACTGCATTATGTTAAAGTCTCAGATTTTTAAAACATAATCTTATATATATATTAACGCAAATGACCGGTATTCCCCCTACTCCGGTGGAATATGGCCATACATAAATACACGCAAAAAAATAGGGAAAAATTATTTTTAAAAAAATCACTTAAGTATAGTTCATATAAATTATAAATATATGATAATTTGCTTACCTTAAATTAAATTTCTTAATACATTTTTTTTTACATAAATAAATGCTGAAAACTATTTTCACACATTTAAACGTTTTTTGATAATATCGCTTAAATAAGAATACGGTTTTTTTATCATTCTTAATCTATAAATATGGTCAACATAATTTTAGATGCATGGGTTTATTAAATAATGAGGTTACCAGTATTACCCATTGACCATAGTTCCCCAGTCTCTCCTATCAAATGACATACCAAAGTATTTAAGTTTTATAATTATTATGTTTTATAGGATCGTGTAATTGGTACACACATTATGAAAATGAGCGAAGCCAGAGATAATCATAGAAGGACATTGCAAATTATTCGCGCAGAATGCGTTGTATATAAGCAGAGTATTTTTGATCTTAATAACCAAATGGTAGCAGACCAAAAACTTTATGATGAAGCTGAAGCAGCTTACAATAAAAGAGTGTTTGAGCTTGAGAGTTGTGAAGCTGAAGTTAGGGGAAAATTGGCACAAGTTTTACGTGATCGTTCTGAATCAGAAAAACAGTTGCAGCTTGTAAGAGATAAAATTGACGGAGATCTGCAAGCTAAGCGTACTGCAGGTACAGTTTTGGCTCACCAGCTTGATGCTCAATGGAGACGGCTTCAAGAAAAATATCGTGAATTCCTAGCAGATATTTTTTTATTAGATAAACAAGAACAGCTTACCACACAAACATATGAGCAATCTAACACTCAACAAACACCTATACAAAAGAGACGTTTCCATGCAGTAGCTGACCGGTATAGGCGTGTATCTCTAAGATCTTCAAAATCATTGAGATCATTGGTAGCAGTTGGTAATTTGCTACGAGAGAAGCAATTAAGGCAAAGACAATCATCAGGTGAAGATCCATTATTGATTGCAATTGAAAAGGGTAAAGATGGATCTGCAGCCGTAAATCAAGTATGGAATGTATTAGATGGCGTTCAACGCCAATGCACTCGAATAGCAGAACGAGTACGTTGGCAAAGTAGCTCAGAGAATACAAACTTACATTTATCCAAGTTTAAAAGCGTAAAAGAACAACCAGAAGATATTTCTGAGTCCACCATTGTAAAATTAGAAAATACTCGTAATGCAGTTGAAGCGGGAAAAAGTTATATAGACAATTTACGGCACACTGCTACAGTCAGCCGACGGTTGTTGGAATGCGAAAGTATTGAAGAAAAAGAGCTTAGACAAATTCTCTTTTCAACATGCAAACGCTGCGGTTGTTCTCCATCATCTTCATCGTCAGTAACTTTTCTTAAAGATATGATTGCTAGATTAGAAGTAGCATGTTTTTCCTTGTTCGCCCAACTCGATGAAGTAGGAAGTAATGATAATGGCATGGTGGTAGAAACATGTCTGAGTAAAGTGCAGCGGCAACGAAAAAAAGAAGAAAAATATAAGGCTGACAGTATCAAAAGATTAGATAACTTTCGAAAGGCAGCCAGTCGATTAATGGTAGTATTAGAACCTCGTGTAAAGTTTAAAGGTGTTCACTCTCAGCAGATTTCATCAAAATATTTTCACAAAAATAGAGTTAAACCTCAGAAAATAACGACAGTGACAAACAAAACTACAAAAACTTTTAATAATAATGTAGAGAAGGAATTCAATATTATAACACCGGTCAAATCTCTCTGTCCTCCAAGATCACTATCTAAACCTTCTCATCATAATAAAAAATAAGGAATTCAGATAAAATCGATATCTTTTTGATTTGCTGATTTTAGTTAACAAAAATTATATAAAAAAATAGAGAATTCTTATTGAGATAATTTATTTCCACTTAATTATAGCAACAAATTATTTTTCATTCAGATGTGATAAAATAACAAAAATAAAATTTAAACAAATGGCACATAATTTTTATAAAATCATGATCAAGTGCTAGGATTGTTACCGTCAAACAATTAATACTTTGGAAAAAAATCGAAAATCTCAACTCAAAATCCATTAAACTATGTTATAAAAATTATTTTAAATTTATGAAAATGGGGGCCTATGGTAACTACATTTTTTTCAGTTGCAAAAATACAATTTTATTTTTATTTTCTTTAATTAAGTATCAAATAATAGTTTACGAGAAAAATTATAATTACCTTGTTTATACATTATACGGATTTCTTTATTTTATATTTTGTAATATTTCCTGTAAAATTATCAGACAATGAAATAAATAAAAAAATATATAAAATTATTTTCATTTATCAAATTTAAAAACCTAATGCGGCAGGAGAAATGGTCGAATTAGAAATTTCAGAAATACAAGGAATTATTATTATTATTTATATGAACCTTAAAAAAATTGAGGGTATACAATTGAATTTTTGAAGCAATTGTTTTTTTAACCACCTTAAAGTTAGGTATTTTCTTCTTTTTTTTATTATCTATTGTAATTTTTGCTACAATTAAAATTTACAATCTTGTTGTAGTATCATCACATTCAAGGAGACATTGGGTCCACATGTTCCGGACTGCAAGTTTAAGAGTGGTATAGGAGAATATACTAATCTTAATATTAATGTTAGAACATGTAAATTTCGTGCATTTTTTTTTCACAATATTATTTTAGTGCGACGACAGTATTTGGTAAACGTCGGCATTACTCAAAAGTGTATTTTTATCTATTATATCTTTACCAAATGAGCCACTTATCAGCAATATTAGGTTTAGTTTTAATAAAGTTTACATATCATTCTACCAAAAAAGCAATGTTCTTTTTCTTCCGACGAACACATATATTGTGCAATTCAAAACAAACATTTAATAATATCGTATAAAAGAATGAGATCTGAAAAAAAAATAAAACTTTTTATTTTTCAAGCTATAACAATTAAAATTACAAAATTTAATTGTTATATGATCAATTGAATTATAAAAAATTTCAACGTAATTACTCGTATGATGATTTAGGTTCAATTTTGTTTAAATAAATATTATCTATCTTTCTGCTTTTTTTTTTTTAATTTAATATATTTTTCGTTAGTTCAAGGTTTTTTTAATAACTTATTTATTGATCTTGAAAATAAAAAATAAAAGACACTTTTATAAAACTATCATGTATATTTTTTCTTACAAAAATATTATTTGTTTTACATATTTTTGTTGAAATGTCAAGTTATTCCTGAATGATAAATAGATAAGTTCTACAACAAGTTTAGTACTTATTCCAATTTTGCACCATATTAAGTATTTATATTGATTTCAAAGTTAGTTATTGTTGATAATAGGTTTTATTTATTACTAAAAAATGATAAACTTTTTTAATTTGTCTCAAATCATAACAATTTTGTAATTAAAATTTGAAATTTTCTATTTGAACTTCTTTGTCCAATGATAAAGTAGTCCTTTTTTCTTCTTTTTAATTAATAGAAATACAGCCGTTATTAGCTGTAACCCAACTATACAAAATCAATTTATTAATTACATAATTTACATACATTTATGAGCTATATAAAATTTATTTATTCAAGTTTTGCGTTTGCCTTGTTCATAAGAATGTCATTGAGTATATTCTGCAATATTTATTTATATTAGATAAATAAAGTAGTATTGAAATAGTAGTAGTAACATCATTGTTCGACGGATTCGGTTTGTTTTATAAGTGTATAATTTATAGTAATATAATATTGGTTATATCATCAAAACGTGAGTGATTGACATAATAGAATTTTATGTACAATATGTACTTGTCTAATTGATCTAAGTATGACACATATGGTGTATATTTGGTTCAATAATAAAGTAAATTTATTACAGCTGTTAAAGAAGGTCAAAATTTTACTGGGTATTTAGTTACATCTTACTAACCGACAGAAGCATACATGTAATCATTATAAAAAAGTAAGTATTACAAAATATTTTATTATTATCCATATAATTTGTCGCATACTACACTTAGTTATTATTGAATTATTAATTATAATTTTATCCAAGCAAACATTTTGCTGTTAAATATAGATTTTAATATCATTTATTTCAAAAAAAAAAGCTTGTCAACCTAACGAAAAGAATATTATAAATAAAATATAGCACAAATCAAATACATTTATTTATACGTGTCTAGAAATTTTAATTTAATGACACTCTTATTTCAAAGTATTAAGAATTATATAGAATAATAAAGTGTATTAAAACTAAAAAAAGTACTCTCTTATTAAAAATTATAAATTTATATAGTGTAATTTTTCTCTAATTTGATGTATATTTAATTATTTGGATTATATTTAGAATTACTAATTGACTAATTAAGAGTATAATTAAAATCAAGAGACTTTTTATTTTTATTTTAACAGCTAAAATAATATAAGAGTGGAAAAATTAGCTAAAATTTATAAATCATACTTTTTTAATAAATAATAATTATTAATACAAAAATTGTTTCTGCATATCTAATAAATTTACAAATATTTTAACAACTATAACTATAAAAAAATTACTAACACTTTACCTAGAGTCTTACCAACCTTACCTTAGCAAAAGATAATCAATAAAAATATTAAAGAAACTTTATGAGAATTTGTTATTTGGGCTAAAAGCTTATAAGGTGCATATATTTTTTCCTAAAAAGAGTATGATTAGATTAAAATTAGGTTTATAGACAAAATAAAGTTTTGCGACTTTAATAGTATCTATAAGAAAAACTTGAAGTTATTAAAAAGATATATTTGATTACCCTTTCTATAAAAAAAAATTGTTTTGATTAAATTATTGCCATGACAAAGCTTGTACATATAATTTTTTAAACTAATGTTTAAATAATGTACTAAGCTTCAAAATCAGGTCTATGAGTAACAGTAAAATGTGAAGCCACATAAATTGAAGATTCAATGTCAAATTAATAAAATCGATTTTAATGACGTTACACTTAAATAACATTCTTACAAAAAAAATTTTCATTGCTTCATTTTCATATTGTATTAATTATTGATAGTTAATTAAATTTTTTTAAACGAACATATTAATGTTGTAATATTTGAGATATTTCAGTTTAATCGAAAATTGTATAAATTATTTATTTATTATTAAAATTAGATACAGGTGTGTATAATGTATAAATTTCAACGCCAAAAAATTTAATAAATCTTAAGTAAATTCTTTACATTTGAACCAATTATTAATACTGATATAATAAATTGCAGGATGGATAATTCACTGTTCAGTAACGACTATGGATGGTTGAAGTATTTTCATAATATGGCGAATTTTGCATGTCGAAGTCAGTAAGTTTTTGTGTAATTAAAGTCCGACTTTATACATATCTTCGTGTAGAGTAGATTTTAATATACTCTACTGCAAGTATTCAAATTCTTCAACGAGTTCACATAAAAAGTTTTTTTTACATATTCAAGAATTTTTTATGTGTAATTTAATATGAAGGTTATTTGATACAAGTTGGAATATTTAGTAAATTATGAGAAAAAATATTGGTTTATTTTAATTTAAATACTAAAATTCCCGGTTTTATGAAGTAATTAAAATTACTTAAAAGAAATGCTTATAAGCAAGTTTTTTTTAATTATCACTTTAAAAATAATTTACCGAATAATAATTTGTAATTATTCTTTAATTTTCTTAAAAATTCTTAAATAATTAGTGTTGTTTTTTGATAATTATGTTTTTGATCCATATATTGCCTTTGTCAACAACCTATACAAGTATAAATTCATTGAAATTTCCGTTTTTATTATGTTGATATCAGTGACATAGTTACAGATTTATTCTAGAAGGATCTATCACCTATAAATGCGTTCTTGGTTGAAATGAACTTGTTTTGCTTTTATAATTATTGTCACATTTTAATTATGCGCATTTCTTAGCAGAGATGTATTTAGAGTTTTGACGCTTTAGGTAAAGATTTATTGCCACTCCTACATACCTAACACCCTATTTTATATATTATGATTATCAAAAAAATGCTGCCATTTCTTAATTCCACAAAAAATTTGCCGCCTAAAGCGATGCTATCCACTCCCTTCCTCCACAAATACGTCCCTAATTCTTAGTAGCGAAAAATAGGTTGAAAATAGAGTGAAATCAACTGCTAAAGCCAATAACATGTCATTTTATAATAAAAAATAATTTTTTTTTTATAAAAAAAGAAATGTGTTTTATACAACTAGTTGGTAATACTAAAATACATCCCTAAGAAGTGACTCCATTTTTTTTTAAACATATATTTATGTTATTTTCGGATTAGATTTGCATCTTTTTACATTTTCAAGATAATATTAGAAGAATGTTGGAAGTTTTCTAAATAATTATATTTGAGGTGGTATATATATATTAATCTGAGTAATAATTAAATACTTACTTTATATATCTTTTTAAAATTGATATTCTTAAAATGTGATTTTTTTTCAAACTTGTTACATCCTAATGTACACCTACAAAAACAATATTATTCAATATTAATTCATTTTATAGTATTAATTAAAATTAATTTTATAGGATTTTTATGAAGACTACTAAAGATGTTATGTGTATGATTTGCTATTTTAAGTTTGACTTGTTTTCATATGGACTACAAACAGCATCTTATTGGATAATAAAAATCCAGTCAGCACTACGTCGTGGAATGAATATGTTGTCAAATATAATGATCTGTTTGTTTGAAGTACGGTTCTACTTAAAATGGAAGAAAAGTTGTACTGATCATTTTGAATCTATAGTTGACGGATTGTGTAATGTTGAACATGAAGTTGAATGTGAGGTGTTATACGATCCAGGAGTGGAGTCAACTCTTATAGATGTTGTGTTCATACATGGTCTTAAAGGAGATAAATTCAAAACGTGGAAGCAAGGTTTATGGAAGCAAGCTGTTCATATACCTCAACCAGTTGTTGTACGAAGTTCTGAATCTGTGTCATTTAATAGTAAGATGATAGACAAAATGTCTACCACTAATAAGTTTACAGATTTTACCAATTGTTGGCCCAGAGATTGGCTACCTTTGGATTGTCCTTATGTTCGAGTCATCACTGTAAGCTACAGTACAGATCCTTACTTGTGGAGACCTATTTGGTTGAAGAAATCTATCAGGTATTTTGTTAAAATAAAAAATAATTGTATTGCAACGACAATATTAAAAATAATAAGATAATACACAAAAAAATTCACATAAAGAGGAACAAATAATAAACAGTTACTTTTCAAGAGATCAAAAAAATAGTATTATACTATACCAAAGATTGTATGTTTTTTTTACACGACTTCCTTTAATAATTATTTGATAAATAATGGTTAAATGGATATGATATTGTTGTCCACAATGTCCGGTGAATGTTGAATAGACACACGATTAACAAAAAATCCTAAATTAATAAGTTATTTGTAAAAAAAAATATTCTTGTCATCCAGAGAGATCTTCTTGTAAAATTAACTGTAGTTAAATTATCGATTTTTATGATAAACAATTAGGTATTTATCGCAGTAATAATAATTAGTAAGAATTAAATAATAATTACTGTACCTAACACAATCAATATAGGTTGCGGTATGATTTTATTTTGTTCATTTTTTAAATAACAAATAATTTTTTCTACAATACTTAACCTAAAATATTATATAATCGCTACATAACTTGTGTACATTATAATTATTTCATTAGTTTCTTTACTAAATTCTATGGTATCGTAGAAATTTGTGACTATAAACGATTTATTGAAACCATATTGTGCAATTCTCATGATTTCTTTTTTTTATAAACAACTCAAATTTTTTTTTTTTATTTTATACATAAACTTGAATAAAAATTACTAAAATATAAGTCAGAAAAATCTCATTAATTTGAGTATAGTTCTTCTAAACGAGACTCAAAAAATAATAATAATTATTTTATTTTATCGTTTTTTTTAAATTTGTATTTTTTATCTTCAATATTCATACCAATAAGCGATATCAAGGCAAGAAGCCATCTTTGAACAAATTTCAATGATGATTTCTTCCCAATTTTGTACTAGTGATGATGAAAATAACTTAATAAAAAATTTTTTTTGATATTTTTTCAGAAGTTCAATGAAAGATAGAGGATATCAAATGATATCACTCCTCCGAAATTTTCAACTTGGGCATAATCCAATAATGTGGGTTGGTCATTCCAAAGGAGGATTATTTATTAAACAAATATTAGTACTCGGTATTATATAAAAATTTATATTTAGAGTAAATTTAAGATAATTATCTATTATTATACATTTTCAGCTAACAACGAAGATATTTCTCATAAAATACTATTAAATACCAAGGGTATTTTATTTTACAGTGTTCCTCATAATGGCTCTCCATTGGCTAATATTAAAGTACCACTATTCCAAAGATCCATTGAATTAGAAGAACTTGTTAATGGTAACATATAGAGCAATGTAATTTAAAAATCCTGTTATTGAATTGCTCTGCAAAATAAAAATAATTAATTTTGTATATGTCGTGTTAAGCAATTTATCTAGTGCATTTTTTTAAACAAATTTTCATTAAACTACGATAATATTATTTTTTTAACATAAATGACAATTACTTTTATTAAAAAGCTTATAATACATATGTATTATTATAACTAAATAATTAAATTCTAAAGTTAAAATTGATTTCAAACCTGTGTTAAAAAATAATTATAAAATAAAACTAATACTAAAAATAACAAAAACACAGAAAACAATTTAGAATAAAAAAAAATTGTAATAATTTACCAAATAATAGATAAGATCTCACGTATTCACGTATGAGTGTATGAAAAAAATTAATTGTATCATTATCTCAGTAAAAATTTGCATGAAGAAAAATAAAACAGTAATTAGATGATACATTAAGGGATAATAAATAATAAAGTAAAATAAAGCGGCTATATTCTAAAACTGAGTAAACTAGTACTAAATGAGTTAACATTAAAAAGGTCAAAAATACGATCAATTAGTCAAAAAAATGGTGCACTGGATTTATCTACCACAGTAATTTAAACTTGTACACTGTGAATTGTTTTTAATTTTTATATTTTATTTTCTGATATTGTTTAACAAACATACATTACATTTCTAAAGAAATATTAAGAACAATGTCTTTAATTGTATATAACATATATATATTATGTTACATCCTCTATTAGTGACTCTAATTAAAAAAATGAAGCAAAATAAAATATACTACATTAATATTATTTTATTTATATTATACATATAATATAAATAAAATAAATAATATAGACTTTTTATATTCTTTACTAATTAATTAGTTTCAAACAACTCTCTCGCAGAAACGACAAGAGCTAAATTGATAAAACTTCCCTTGCTTAAAATTTAACGGTTTTTTTAATGAGATGGTGCAAAATAAAAAAAATAAACTATTTTAAGTTATATTACTATTCTTACCGATATGTAATTTTAGCATTATAACCAAATTTAAATGTAATAATTATGAATACTGTGTGTCAATATATTTTTTATTATTATTATTAAATAATAATAGTTATAATAGTATTCTAATAATCAAATATTTAAAATTTTAAATATTTGATTATTAGAAAGGTTATATGATCAAGTTTATATTTTATATTATCATTAGATAATCAACATATCCAAAGATTACAAAAGGATTTTTATCAAATTATCAAAAATATTGACCAAATCAAAGTAAAAAGTTTTATTGAAACAAAACTAACTCTTATGAAACTTATTTATTTAAGAATAGTATCAATACAATCTGCAGGTAATAAATCAAAATTAATTAGTAAGAAAAAGTATATTCTAGTAAATATTAATTTAATAATATAATTTTAAAATAAATAACTTATATTTGACAAAAGTACAAACTTTTAATTACTTATAATGAAGGTTCATAAAAAGAGGCGTAAATAAGATTTTCTTAATAAGGAGGACACAAAAAAAATTACAAACATTTGTATTTTGTATCTTTTTTTCACTCGTTGAATATGTCAAACATGACTCCTGTGATCCTCTTTAGTTCGCCACTACTCGTGAAATATGAAATGTAAGATAAATATAAACAAAATTACTATATACGGAGGTTCAGTAAGTGAGGAAACAGGTCAGTAGTTACAAACAATAACAATAGAAACCCGTTGCTAACTGAACACCTATGTAATCCTGTCATAAGTAGTTTGAAAACAATTTTCGAAGGAGGTTAATTATTAGCCTTACAAAAAATTTTAAAGATTTACAAGTATATATAGGGTATTCATAAAGTAAGAAAAAAGGTGAATTGTTACTAACAATGAGAATAATAGAAACCCTTTTTTTTACTTACTAAACACTATATAACTTCCTAAATGTTTAGGAGCTATTTCTATTTTCAGAAGTTTTCAGCTACTCCAATCACTCCCAAATTGTTTAATGGGGCTGTTATATAAAAATTATTTTTTGGAGTGTGTATGGACAATTTAAATTTAACCTCCACAAAACATTTGTTCACTTATAATAAACAGGGGTTTTCTTTTATATAAGTAAATATAAATTATTGGTATTAAGATATGGGCAATTATTTTGTAGATCCTGGATTAGGAGACTTATATGGCGTACCACTAGACCATCGCAATATTTGTAAACCAAAAGATCGGTATGTAATCAATTAAATAACTTCTTTGTAAAATTTTTTAAATGAATATTGACGTAAATGTTAATTTATGTATTATTTGTTAAACTTCAAATATTTTTTATTTAATGTCATGAATTTTTTTTTAGTATAACACAAATATGGGGAGGGGGTTATGACACATCTCTTGACAAAAATAATTTTCTACAAAAAACAATTTTTTTTTGTTTAGAGGAGGAAGTTGTTTTATGTATATTACCTTCAAGACTATTACGTCTGTGGATCAATGTTTAAATGACTTTAATACATTTTTATATTTACTTTTATTAATATTTAACATATTTAAATTACATTTTAAGTTAAAATATTCTAAAATAATAAACCTTAACTTAACTTGTAGAATATATAAAAAAAATTACACTTGAAAAATATGCCAACATTAAATTTTTTAACTCATACCTAAATACTACTGATAAATAAAAGATTACCCAAGAAATTTACTTATACTTATGTACAAGTAACAGTAATTATAAAGTATTAATAATATTCACTAAAACAATTATAATTACAGTCATTGTTTCCTATATCAAGAACTAGTAAATATGATAGATACACTGAAGGATCATCTGAAGAACCAGCAGTAATATGATGAAGTAAATGTTGTATAATACTTCACATTAATTCAAAATACATGTATCTATCAAATGTCAATTAGAGGAAAATATATGTCATACAATATACAATGACATAATAATATAAATTGTTATACAATAATTATTGAATGTTATACAATATAGTTTTACTATCCACATTTAAGAATAAATTTTATAATTCTAGACCATAAATGTTATTTAATTTAAAAAGTAGAATATGAGTCAAAAATTTAAAATAAAAGTTAAATTATTGTATAACTATATAACTACAAATAATAAAATTTATTTTTTAAATTAAATTAAGTTCATGATATCAAAGTAAAGGTCGAAATTTACATGTTAGTTAATGTATTTGATGAATTTCGTTGTTATACTATAATCAAAAATTATATTGAAAAAATAAATTATAATATAATAGATTATTTTGGAAATATATATTATGTATTTAATATTTAATCATCATACTGATTTATTTTTGTTGTTTTAATTATCACTTTCTTCTACATTTTATTGTAAAAAGACATAACAAAAATATTAAAAATGTTTAATTTTATTTAAATAGGTAATGTATGCTCCAGGGTATACAAATTCATTTTTATAATTGCTCTTGGTTAGACATGAACAGCAAAATAAGATCAAATGGACTCAGTAAATATTATCATTAACTGTTTTTCACATAAAAAATTTAGTTTTTTTTTTAAGCCTGAAATAAAATTAATCATTAAAAATCATAGTATTACATAAAAACAAAAAATGATACTCATTTTAATGCACTTCATTAATTATAATTTAACTTTATAAAAATAAAATAAAATCAATATAATTTAGCTACTTGATTATAACCATTATTTTATTTTAATGCAAGTTTTAACTTTCCAAAGCTTTTACTGATTGACAAAATAATAAATGTTTCTTTCCCATTTCTCCTTTGACAAAGATTAGAATTCATTTTTTCTGAAATACAAAATAATATTTAAAAAAACTCTTACATAAGTAAAATTTATTTAAAGAAAATATTGTATATTTACTAGTTTTAACTTTACATCAATGTCAGATTACATAAAGAAATTAATCTGTGATGATTGAGGTAATATTTCTTTAATTTATACTTATAAGTGTGGTAGTTATAAAGTTGAAACTTAAAAATAATAAATAGATTTTTAATTTATAAAATAATATAATAAAATTAAGCAACAATAAAAAACTGCTCTAATATAACTATTGATAATTTGTTTTCTTATAAAACAAAAATGTATATTTTATACACAAAATAATAATCATGATACATATGTAGTGGCATAAACTATAAAAGTCAGATAAGTAGACACAGAAAATAGTAGTCAAGTTACCATGTTAGTTATATTATTTTAAGAATTTTTATTTTGTTGATCATTCTAAAATAAATCATATTTTTTATATTTTGTCCAAACAATTTTTGATCAAGGCAACGAAAAAATTAGAGACTACTCAGGCAATAACAGATAACTTTTATTTTATGGTAAAATTTAAATTTTAAATGTTGATTAAATAACTACACCAGTCATTGATACACTAACCATATTTTATATCATGTTTGATACATCATAAATAATCTTTTAAAGTTTTAAATCACTATTTTATCATTGAATTAATTTTAGTGCATTTTAAGGAAACTAATCCTACTTTTTAGAAAATAAAAAAAGCTCCTAAACATGTAAAAATTAAAATTTGCTGAATGTTAAAAAAACTGCCAATGACTGGTGCTATAACCGTAAGTAACTGAAGTGGTATTACAATAGGCATATAAATTAATGATAATATGTGAAGGTATCATGACAGTATAAATCTGAGGTTTTACCAAAGCAAAACATTCTGATTTTGTCTCATAATTCACTTAAAATTTTTTTGTTAATAGATGACAAAATACCTATAAAAATGTGTAACAAGTTCTTGAAATTTTATTTTTCTTTAAGATCATCAATTAGTTATCTCATTGTATTAATTTTATTGAGAAAACGTTTTTTTCCACTTCTTAATTTCTTCAACTTTATTTAATTGAATTTGTAGTAGCTTTGAGTGATTCTCCAGAATTTCCTCTTTTTTTCTAAGATTACTTATGTCATCAAAACTAAAGTCATCCATATATCGTCTGTAATTGAGAGACATTAGAATAAATATATTTATTCAAACTTTATATATTTATGATACCTCTTTTAGAACAGGTTGTTTTTCTGGAGTGTTAGTAAAATTATTCTCCGTTTAAAAATTTGACCGTTTTATTAATGATTCCAAGGTTACTAAAAAAATTATAAACATGAATCACAAAAGTATTTCAAGATGAATTGGTATTTAGTTTATTACTATGTTCAACTGAAATAGATGGTTCACAGATTGAGTCTTCCTCACCAGTACAATGAGCTATTGGGCTCCCTCCTTCAGACTCAAAGGATACTAAAACAAATATCAATAAGAATAGTATTTCATTTCAAATCAAAATGTAATCCATATACTATTTTTTTCGTTATAGATTGATTGATTATCTATGGACATTGTAGGATTATATTGAGCAATGAAACTTCTCTTCTGGTAGATTATAGTAACATATATAGTAATATACGTATGGTTACAAATTTCACACATTATTGCTACTTATAACTAAAATGAATACAATTACATTATTATAATACTTGAACTAAAAATTCCTTTTTTACTTAATATTTTTAATTGATGTTGAACATTGTAATCACTCTCAACAAAGTGATGGCTACAAACACAGGATTTTTTTGTGTCACAAAAACTTGGTTGTCGGGATTGAATAGCTTTTATCCATAAATCACATATAATTTTATCATAAGATATCCTATGAATTTAACACAAAAATTAATTTTAAGTCTTTCAAATATATAAAAGTAAGAAATTAAATTTACATACCTGTGTAACATCATACTTTTCTCTTTAGTAGTTATATTACGACAAGAAGCAATAGCACAACAATTGACCATGATATAATGATGTAACAATAATAACTATTATATATTTAAGATTAATAATTTACGAATACTGTAAAGGAAACTATTAAGCAATGAAAATATTGCACCAAAATTCTACTGAAAAAATTCTGTCATGATTTTCAATAATAATAGTTGTTATCTATTATTTTAAAGTTGATTATAATGTATTTCTACATAAACCCAACCCAACCCAACCAAACCCAACCTGGAATAAACGAACATTAGCTATCTATTATTCCATTTCATTTTCCACCAGAACAAGGGTCAACGATTTGATATACAGAATGATAACACCACATAACTTGTAACACAGTCCCTGCATTTTTATGATTATGATCTTTTTTCTGTTATCTATTTTGTCTATCTCCAATAAATGTCAGCAATATCGTAGCTTAAGTTATTATATATTTATTATACGATAGAAAATCATTTAAAAGACAATTAATATAAAAATATATCATGTTTTTATAAACTTCATTAATTAATTTTTTAACTTTAGACAACTAATATTTTGTTATTGAAATAAACTAGTGTTTTAGTTTATATTTTCACTTAAAGTTACAAAAAAGTATAGAATTTTTGTTTTGATACTTACAAAAATTTTTCAAAAATAATTATTATTTTAAGGGAGAATGTTTAAATAAAGATTTTATATTTCCAATTGAATTATCAATATTTGTATACTCACGAAATTAAATATAAATTGGCTAATAAAATGAGTAAATGAAATGCCTTTAAGTACAAAAAGACTTATTAATAGATATTCTAGAAGACATTACGCAAAACGTATGAATTGAAACATTTCAAGACAATAGTGGGATATTACTATAAACCTTTATTCTTTAATATTGAAGACTCTGAATAAAATTTGATTACCATAAATTATGTTGCAATTATATTATTAATAAATAATAATGATTTCTTCATTTTTTAATAGCCTACTAATCCTTATAAACATTTTAATTAGATAAAAATGTAATTCCTGATAAATGTGCAAAAATTTCTTCAGTTAGAATTTTTTAATCGGAAATCTATTAAATGAATATAACAACAAATAAGCTTCAAATTCACAAACTGTTTGTTAAAAATTTAAAACATAAAAGTTTGTTAAAAGAGAAAAAAATGACTGTTTAAATTACATAAAACAGTTATTAAAAATATACTAGCCTTATTAATGTTTGAAATAGTGAGGTATATAATTTGTAAGCAAAATAAATGAAAAACATGTGCATAATATTGTTAAATTTTTGTGTATTTTGCATACAAATTATTTAATGGTTTTCTTATCTTATTTGGTACTCTTGTATACTATAGTAATATTATGTAGTCCTTATACGTACTGTAAAAAGTTTCTTGGCTATAATTTCAATACATATATACATAAATAGAAATTAAAAAATATTATAGTACTCCTCATATACATTAATTGTTGTACGTGATACAAGTTAATGTTTATAATAAAGTAATTGTGGTATGAAGAACGTTTTTAGTTGCATAAATTTACATTTATGTACTATAACATATAGGCACATATCTCTAAAACGTAAAACTTTATATATTAAGGGGTATTTTCTAGAGGCTGTAATAAATAATATTATAATATAATAATATAATATTAAAGGGGGGGATAAAAAAGTTGAAGAATACATTACTAAGCCATAAGTGCGCACTTGTTGAAACCCAAGTCTGATACAGTTTGATTTATTAAGAATACTCTCCCCGATTTTTTCGTTAAATAATGTTCTTTTTTTCTATAAAAATATACTCATTAAAATTTTATTTGTTTTTATGTACTATGAAAATATCAAATTTATAGAAAGAAAAAATATTTTTAAGGGTACTTTTTAGGGGTAACATTCGAAGGGAAAATGGAAACCTATAACTATTTTTATGCTATTAAAATGAGAATAGACTAAATTTTGTTGATTCGATAACCAGTTCTGTAATATTAAGTTAATTTAACTTTTAGACAATATGCACCCATAGAAAAACCTCGATCTATATAATAAATTCATTGTTCAATTTGATAAATATATCATTACTATTGAAACTATGATATATTTATCAATATGATAATTTTTTTTCTTGTCTTGAACAATAATTATTTATAAGAATAATTATTTTGTTCGTATTAATAAAACATTATCATAAACCCTTGATAAAATTTCTCTATCAAAATTGATTGAGGTTTTTCTTTGGGTGTGGGTGGGTAACGACATTGTAGTATTCTTATTTGTTTGTTATAGTAAAAATAGAGCACGGCTGAACACTTACCCGTTTTTCACCTTTTCTAAATCTTTAGATGCTAATATCTCAAAAATTAGATTCGATGCTTTGCTGAGAAGTTATTCGTTTTATACTCCGTGTTTTTATATTTTTTTTTAATTACTGGATTCAATTACTCCGCTTTTATTGGACCGATTTCAGTCAACGATACGTGAAAAGAAGGGAAGTGTCCAAAATATTACAATTATGACAAAACAGTCGATGTTATTATTTTTAGCTTTCAGTTTATATTGAAATAATTTTTTATAAATAAACGGATAATAATGCAATATTTATTGGAAATACTTAAAACACTTTACTGTCGATATACTTTTCTTGTAAATTCAATCATTAATTAAAATACTTTGGGAATTTAAATTATATTGAATTTTTTTTCTTTTCAATAATGTTCCAAAAAAATCTGTTTTAAATCTACCTAAAATTAGGTATATTATTAATGTATATTATTACTTGCAAATGAAACAAAAATTTCAATTTATTCAAAAAGAGTAATGCACTTATTCACTTAACAATAACGAAACTATTATTTGCCGTAAAATTTTAACATTATCAATTTTCCTAGATAGAATTTGATCGATATATATTATTTCATATAATGTGATTATTGTAAATTACCTAGCGCATTTCAAGAACCCATTCGTATAAGAAATTGATACCTCCGGTAATAACTACACAGTTTTTTTTATTATGATTAACTATAAAATATTGAACTTTATCACAATTATTATTATGAAAATTTGTGTGGATAAGTGCACTCATTTGCTGCATTTCTTGTCCACGTGTAGTGTTCTTGTACGTAACAAGTTTCTCATAGTCATCCAAATCGTTAAGATCGATAATTTCCACTTAACTAACAGGATTTTCGTTCAAAGGGCTCGTCAAAGTTACATACTTAAGACCCATATACGTTTGTAGATTTTCCATCAACGTTTTTTGTAAGAAGGACTTCTTCTTATTTTTAACAACACTTTTTGAATAATTGTTTACCTCCAGTTTAAAAACCAGATTTTAGACACATACTGGCTAAATCAACTTTTGCAGGATAACTAATATTAACCAATATTTGAGTTGACATGTTGATCATAAACAGAATGTTTAACGTTTGATTCAACGCTAGAAACAAAATCCTTTGGCATATTTTCCATTTCTGTACTAACATATACCCCTCTAAAAGCATTCGTGTTATTTTTGATAGTGAATCTAAACGAAATTATAAACCAAGTTTAACAAAACGTAAGTAAGATGTAATTATATAGATATTATCACTCACCAGTCATTGAGTTGTAAATACTATTTTTAGAGTTATGCTCAAGTATTTTATTTATTTTTTTAATATTTTTATTATTTTAACATATTGCAGATATGTGATATTTGATACTTTATTATAAGGTTCTTTTACTAAGATTAACAATTTATATTATAAAAACTTTTATTTTTTGAAAACAGAAAATCATCATCATCATCATAGACTTTTTCCCAACTATTTGGGATTAGTTCTGCTTTAACGATTTGACGGAATTTTACACCGGCTCTTAACTTGACGCAATCTCATTATAGCTAAGGAAGTCAGAGTAACTGTTCCTAAAGTTCAGCGAAGCTGAATATCAGCGCTTAGACGAGGACTGAATGATTCACTATGCTACACCAAGCCCCTAAGAACAGAAAATAAATATTAGAATTTTTTATTTAAAAAATTAGTATAAATATTTTATAAGAAATAAAATTGCTAACATTTATTAAAAATTTAAGTTTGTTTATTAGATAACATTATATTAAATAACATTTTTTTTATTGTCGATTTAAAAATAATGTTCATAAGTATAATGTACTAATAATAATAATGTTACTAATTGTGCGTTATTCAGCAACGCAACGGCATACTTAGTTGGTGACTACAGGAAAAAAAGTAACGTCCAAAATGTCACCGTAATCTTTGAACGTCAGCGAAAATAGGTGGTAGATGGACATCATTTTAGTCACAGTCATAGTTTTTATCATTTGTTGAAAATACAAATCTTTACAACCTTTTAAATTCCTAGTAAAGTTTTCCATTTATGCGTCACTTATCAAACTCTGATCTCGATTGTTATAATTAGTTTATAGTTATAAGTATGATAATTAGCACAACAATCATCGCACAATCGCTATATTACCACTGAAGATGAAATTGCCTATACAGAACTCCTGACTTTATCGCAATATACTATTTCTGGTTTTGAATAAAAATGTAATATTTTAACAAACTAACATATGTATAATGTCGATATGGTAGGATGTGTCGAGTATCTTATCTTACAATGTCTGAAATTATTACAGATATATTCATATCTTAATTTTTGGGCTCAGGCTCGTTGCAGAGTCCATCTTTGGAGAGAGAGTTACAGGTTCGAGGTTGTAATTATACTGTCGGCTCGGCTTCTTTAAAATTTGTTATCAGCTAATAACTGATAACATCGATGTTTATTATCTGTTATTATTTTTGTCGTTTTGTTGTTGATAACAAATCTTAGTTTGTTGTTTTCGTTTAATTTTTGTTTTTGTTGTAGTTTATGACATTCTTGGAATTTAGTTCTATTGTAATTATTTGAACAAGATGGTGGAAAATTAACAAGAAAATAACTTAATGTGTAAATACTTTGTTTAACAGATCAGAAAATTGCCGGAGTAGAAAAGGAAGAAATAAATGCCAAGAATTCCATAAACAACAACAAAAACAACAAACTAAGGTTTGTTATCAACAACAACATGACAAAAACAACAATAGATAGTAAACATCGATGTTATCAGTTATTAATTGATAACAAATTTTAAACAAGCCAAGCCGACAGTATAATTACAACCACGAACCTGTAACTATCTTTCCAAAGATGGATTCTGCAATGAGTCTAAAAAGTCAGCCCATAACTGAAGACCTGGATACATCTAAATATTTCAACTAATACAACAATACTAAAAAGATTTAACATATTCTTACCCAGTCTATTCACAACAAGAATTTTTTTTTTTTGAGGGAGAGCCATTGACAATCAGATTACTCATTGCAAAAAAATTACATGGTAAAGATACTAGACATAATTTAAATTACTTTAATGCTTCAAATTTTTTTTTATATCTTGATTTTAAAGTATTTAGAATATACTTCATAAACATTTATATATCAAATTATTTTTTAAATAGAAACAATCTTTAAACAAATTAGATATATATAATTGTGGTAATTACTTAAAAAAATAAACTTCTTAGACAGGACGAAAAATTTTTTTAGAATTTTCATTTTTTATAAGACCTTGAAGGATATTTTTCAATAATTTTCTATAATATTATGAATGTATCATAATTTTTTCAAATTATATTGGTGGCTAAACTATAAAGTATATTAATATTTTTAAATTAATCATTAAGACTATTTTTTATTTGCAAATTTGATTTTACTTTTTAAAAATATAATTAAATAGTTATGTTTATCATAACAACACTTTAAATTCTTTATACGATTTTACCATTTTACATGGTTAATTAGCAGTAGAAGTTCTAAAGCAATTTTTTTTTTTTTTTTTAAACAGCTGTATGATTTGCGTTACTGTTCTCTTAAATGTCTGCATCTTGGCTTGGTCTTTATTAATATATTTCAGTACATTTAAATTGTCATCATATTTTAAATTTTGACCTATTTTTTAATTGATTTAAACCTAAAAATAACTATTTCATTTCTATACTTTTTTTGGTTAAAAAAAGTATTCTACATATAAATTTTCATTATGATCTCATAAAAGTCTTTTTACAGACATAAAAGTGCTTATCATTTAGTGGCACGTAGTCATACCATTTATAACAAAAACGATTGTATTTTATATCACTATCATTTTAATCAAATTAACATGTGAAATAATTTTAATTAAAATACTTTATAACATATTCTAAAAAAAATAATATTATGATAACAATTTTTAGTGGTTATTTACCATGACAACTAAGTGGCTTTTATACATGCCACAGTTTTCTTAAATACAGAATTCTAAAAAATTTCCTGCGCTATAAAGGATTGAAAAAAGGCGTAAGTCATAGAATTTAAAAAATTAAGTTTTCAAAACAATATATATTTTTATAAAAAAACGCTTTATTTTTGAAAATATTCAATAAATTATTGAACCTTTAAAGGTTCAATAATTTTAAAAGTTATGATAAATATTAAAAAATTCTAGTAGAACTAGTGTACATATTAATAAATATGTATGCAGTGGCTGATGAAGATTACAAGTATAAATATCCTGTAGTAATTTGTACATTTATATATTTCAGGAATTCACGTATTATTAAATTGATGATAGTCCGAAACTTTCAAACGCGTCCTCTTAAGATGAATAAAGTCAACTTTCATTATTTTTTATTAACTCGGTGTATCTCATAGAATATTTCCCTTTGGCCATTTCAGTTTTAACCTAATACACTAATGTTAGCAAAAAAACAGTTTTTTTATTATTATCTACTAGTTTAATGTTTTGGAATTATGTCATTTCTTAAACATGGTTCAAATGTTATGTGAATTTTTATAATTATAACCGTATCTATAACTATAATTTANGTTTAATGTTTTGGAATTATGTCATTTCTTAAACATGGTTCAAATGTTATGTGAATTTTTATAATTATAACCGTATCTATAACGCGCTATCTATAACTATAATTTTAAAAAAAAAATACTGACCAAGGAGGCGATTCAATTATCGCTTATAACTGCTACTGGTATTTTCATAATTTTGATTTTATCACAAAACATTTAAGATAGGTTGAAATAATAATATTAGTTAATGCAATAATACAGATTTTATTTAGCTCGAAGTACATAGTTTTTAACCTATATTTATGTTTTTATTTATTTAAATTGTACTTATATTAATAAGTTATAAGATTTTATAAACGGCTACGTAATTATAAAACTAATAGTATGAAATAGTATTCTAGTATCGCTAAATACTCTGGTGTATACCAATTAATGAGAGAATGTAATGACCGTAAGGTAGCTACTAATGTTTTTTGATAACCTTGTGTGGGATTACCATAGACTATATCAAAATAAATGTTCATATAGTTTGTGTAGTATTATAAATGATTGTTTTAGTTTAATATTATGACTTATAGAGTTTTGAATTTTTAATTAAAAAAAATTAAAGAATTTTAAAATCGCTTTCAAATTTAAATAATAAAATAAAATTAGTTTTGTACATTCTACTATTAATTATAGCATTTTTTTTTTTTTATTGTGAAACTATATAAACCAAAATTAAAAATAATTAGTATTATTCACTGATATGTTTTAACCAATATGACTCCCCTTGGGCTTTTCGGCACTTTTTATCTGATGATATACTTAAAATATACGCCTAAGGTTTAATTGAAATACTATAAGAGCAACCGAAATATTCGTTTAATTCCTAACACATACTAATCTACATCTGTTTCGGACCACATAGTATCATGTATGCGAATAAATAAGTGCAATGGCAAGTGATTTCAGAGGTTTAATGGCAGATACTATCTCTATAACGTTCGTGAGGGACGATGTGGCCTAGTCGGTAGCGCGGCAAGGCCGACGTCTCGGGTTCGAGATTCAAGCGGCTCTAAGTGAGGGATTATTTCAATGATTGGAGTCGCCATCCCTTTCTCTGGCGACGGACTGTCCGCAGGTTAAGGAAATCTTTTCTGCTGGCGAGGCTGCTATTGTCCTAAATGGACTGTAAAAGCGTAAAAATAATAAAATAACGTTCATGAATTTTCATTGTAATTATTTTTTGATAAATTCTTAAAAAAACGTCTGAAATTTCTTAAGAACATCATGCATAATTGTGTTGTCCGTCCGTCAAACAGGGCCACATTTATACATTTTGATCCCTTTGGTCACGATATTGTTATAGATGTTATATCACATAAAGTAAAAATGCGGCCTAGTCTGCTATTACAGAATTACGATTGTCGATATCAAAATGTTTAACAGTGGTAAATATTTACTTTTAATAAACTTGATTATTTTTCCATTATTATAATTAAAAATTTTAATTCAGTAATATTTTTAACGGTCAGTATCAATAATGAATATAGAAAATAGTTTGAATAAGTTTTGAAACTGTGGAATTAAGCATACCGGCATTTAGAGGGGTTTTCTAATAAGTTCGTATTGGTCAGAATAACATTTTAATTTTTAATATAGTAGTAACTAAATAAACAATCTAAAAATTTAATTTTCAAATATAGCTAGTAAAAAGTATAATAAATTAAAAATAAGCTTTTTAGCTGTTCAAATTTAAACACTATAAACCTACGCTTAGGTTGAGTTCTTACTAATTATTTTCTAAAATTAATATTTAAAATTAAATATAGATATAAAATCATATTTTTAAATATCATTGATGTGTTATTAATTAAAATACATCTATTGAAACTTCAATTCAATTTGAATCATTTAAAAACTTGCCTTTAATCGACACTTTACAGTTTGCCTACTGTTTTTAAGTGTTATTAGCTGTTGCTATTGGCGCCTCGAATATTTTACTGAGTTTAGTGATATTGTATTGATGGTGTAATAAAATCGCTGCTTTTATTTCATAATTCTTAACTGAATAGTCTCGCGAGATCAACCCTCAATAATTATTATTGTTTTAAAAGAATATTTCGTTTAAATTGACTCTGTCTTGGTTTTCTTTTCTTTTATTACTATCTTATATTTTGGTCTGTGTTAATTTATATACTCTGACCGATTTTTTTTTATTATTATTTCTTCGGTAGCGATAGGATCGCTGATATCGTTTATAATATATAATAATGGAACAAGTGCAACAGCGATTTGCGACAAAAGTTCAACGACTCAATGAGTTTGTGTAATGCGTTTCATATCATAAAAAGCTAAGCAAAATATACTGATCATGAAAACTTAGAGAGCTGATGTCATGTTTACGAAGTGTTTTTTGTGTTTCTAGCTTAATGAGTTACCATTAATGATATTTATGTAAATACTGTTGAACTTTGATTAGAAACTACCGTTGTCGTGAAAAATTATTGCATTTGTTTTCATCGAATACAGTTTTGCTATGTGAATGTTTTTTGTGATTTTATTATAATGTATTGTTAAAAGGGAAAAATAAGTGAGAAAATAACAACAAAAAAAAAAACTCAAAAATCTCTGCCGTTGCCCGGTTTCCTTGAAAGTTGCCGTACGTAGCCAAACACCGAGTACCGACCGTAGCCGATCTAGCACGACTACTTCCGGCAGCAATTGGCTTTAATAACGGGATAACCGTAAAAAACCGTTCCTCAGTGAATGGTACGCCGCATGCCCTTCGCTATGGTTTGCCTGAGCGTGGTGTACACTCCGTGGCGGTGAAAGTTTTTCGAGACTATAATATTAAATATAAATTATTATTATTATTATTATTATAGAATTAGTAATTTAATTCGACGGTTATTTTTTTTAATATTGTTGGTTTAGTTAATTTTACATCAATGACGGAAGTTGCGGGTTGTTAGTTTATTTTTTTTTTTATGTTATCGCCGTATATCGTTTTCCCGCCGAAGTGATTTTTTTGAAATATCATTGAATAAATTATAAAAAATTAATAAAACTTTACAAGCGATTAGTTACACTACACTTTTATTTTAGTGTCTGGATTTTATGTGATTTCCACAAAAAAAGCTTTTTCAGTTTGTTTAAAAACCGTTTTATATATTTTTATTTGTGGTTTCATTCTTCTAATCCGCACTGAGGGATTGGGGACCAACACGTTGAATTCAAATATAGTAAGTTAGTTGTGATGCAAAAATAATCGTTTTCATTCGCTTTTGACCTTATAATAACCAATAAGTAGAATAACATCACATAAGGCCGACATTAACATAGTTTTATCTTTAAATCGTAATTTTAGTAAAATTATACGCAATTAATTATTATTAATAAGTTGTAATTATACTTATGATATTTAATTTAAAAAAAAACATAGTTTTATCGATTAAACCACCTGAATCTGTAGTTTTATCCGTGTCAGTAGCTGAATTCATTACTGCTGCTGTTATAATTACATTAAAAAAGCTACAATATAGTTACAGGATGAATAGTCGCTCCCAGCGATTTTAAATCATAACCGTCGGTTGTTAATCCATTAATCAAACGTTTAAAAAATGAATAATGGGAATCCCTATTGAAATCGTCAGCTCATAAATTTGTTAGTTTTATTACAAATTGATAAAACAGTCTAGCTAAATTCTTCTATATAATCTTCAAAATGCTTAATTAACGAAAGATTTAGCTGCTTGATTGATCAATGTAATGATAAAGTCTCCTCGGTATCTGATTAATCAAAGACGTATCTACTTCCATGTTAACCAACAGTTGTTGTTATTTTCCTTGCGTGAAGAGTACGCACAATGTAAAACATAGAGATGATAAAGCGGTTAATGCCTCACATAATCATGATCATTAGCTTATGTCGTCAACGTTTATTCGCACTTGATGATTACTGTTGTTTATAAATGTTGGTTTTCTTTTACAGTCGAGCAACGACCCGACATCATTGCTCTGAATTGTGGTCCTTTAATAGACATCTATCTTATTTTCTGTGTGTAAATAAAAATAAACCATGGGAAGCAATAGGGCCTATAGTCCCCATCTGACTGGATAATTCCATTAGCTAATAAAGTGAAATAATAATTCAAGTGCTATAAAAAATGTTCACATGTAAAAAGTATTTGTTTTGAATTCGAAACCAAAAAGTTAGAAAAATATTTTCCATTTATACAGTAAAATTTATTTACAACTCCTTGATCAAGTCTAACACCATAAACAAAATATTTTATTTTTATACAATAGTATTTTTAATTTGTTTATCAAACATAACACTTAAATTTTATACAATACAAATTTTTTTTTGGTAAAATTATTTTATTTGTTCATTTTATTTATATTTTGATACATAAATCATACCAAACTTTAGGAAAAATTTTATTCAATGTTTAGAGGAGTAAACATTTTTACTTTTTATTATAGACCAATTCTTTGGTTGTTGAAAAAATACATAAATTGTTTAAAGTGTCAATGGACAGTCAATCTCAATGCGAAACATAAATTTTATTTCTAGTCATTGAATTCGGCAAATATTCTAGTTTTTATTGTGAAGTATATTGTCTTTAAGTCATGCGTGGGTAAAATTTTTAGTCGCATTTGAAGGGCGTCTGAGCTGTTGTATTATTGAATTTATTTTTACGTAACTTATACTTGTGTTAAATCATAATGATTATGAACAATAACCTCAAAAACATGATAACAATAATTAAGTAATTAAATTTTTAATATCTTTATTGCTATTAATGAAGGTTGTTTTAATCGAAACAATAGTCAGACTGCCGTATTGACCCACTGAACGATTACCGTCAAATACCCACCTACTATAATCTGTACAACCTTATGGTCCGCTATAAATAGTGTTGACATCCAATACCCGTGGACCAAAAAACACACAATAAAATATAGAGAACGAAAAACCTCCAATGTAGACATGAAATATTATATATTGGAAAATACCACAGATTTTCAGATTTACAAAACAACTATGTTTGCATAATAAATTTTATTAGCACATTAAAATTGTTTGTACAGCTTTTGTTTGGCTTTTTCACTATTATGAGTATTATTCCAATAGATAACATTGGTAGCCAATTTAATATAAACTATCCAGACTGCTGTATACTCGACTTCAGCTGGGAGTTAGTTCTCCATTCCGTTGTGTGCAAATCAACTTTCACCTACACAGTTTTTTTGTTAATGGGCAATATGATGCAATATGTGTACACAACGGTATAAATATAAGGTATTTTATACGTACATTACTCGACATGCATATGGAGTGTAACCATATTGTGTTTTATAAAGTTTTTGGAACCAATTCTCATATTTCAAATCAAATGGCTCGAAAGGAATACTTAATGTCATAGTTCTCATTTTTTTTTTTTTTAGTTAAAGATTATAATTCAATGTCTACTTCATTTACTTATTAATACAATATTAGATTACAACCTAGACGATCTGAAGTCAATACTAGGTTCATGTCTCAATGAAAAATCTTAAAAGAATACGGTATTTTAATCACCGAAAAGTTTAATATTTTATTGTGTTTAGCATTAAAATGTACATTTTTATCTTATTTAAACTTTGTTGCGAGGTGATTTTTTTCTTTATAAGTTGATTATTTCCATTCTGATCAGGAAACGTAAAAATAAAGGTCGAAAGATTGATTTTGAAACAGTGATTTTATGCGGCATCTGAACTAGTTATGAAAATTATAAAGTCTAAAAGATTATTAAGCCTTAATATATGCCAATAAATGCATTATGTTGATACGATCACATGTATAAAAAATAAAAATAATCTAATGAAGAACTAATTTTTTATTAAAATATATTGAACACGGTATACTTCTATTATGACTTTATTTTATTTTATCATTTTATTTAAATATACCATATTGTGTTATATCTATAATTCATTGTAAACGTTAAATGCCTCGATGATGTTAAACTAGTTCACTTATGTTTTAAGTTCGTTAAAAATCAAAGAAATAATTTTTTTTAATAAAATCAATATATAAAAGAAGTAAAAGATTAATTTGTATTAGTTATGTTCAAACACATATAGAGGCTATTATAGTTGCTTTTCTAGTGTGATGATTGTACTCGATGAACGATAACTATGGTACTATCGGTCAATTTAAATCAAAGTTTTATTTAATCATTAAAATTAATAAGATTATTTTTAGACAATAGAACATAGAATATTTTATTATTGAGCTCTATGTCCTTGTAAGAGTATTTTTGTTTCTAAATTGATAATAAATTACTAATAATTATTTTTCACGAGTAGGTGGGGCAGATGCGTTAGTGATATGAGGGTCAAAGAAGCTGCCATGAATACGCCATACACCACGGAAGTTTGGAAGTGTCGGCTAAGATTGAAGAAAATGGCGGAAACCGCATCGTCAACGTTAACTTGAAGTGGTTTTCAGGCACTAGTTTCATTTTCTAATCAAATAATAGAATTGGAAAAATAATATATATAAAACTGACTACTATGAAACCGTTTGCAATTTTAATGACCACGTTGTCTTTGATGACTGTGTGGTCGTCTCATACCAATGCCACTGTGAATTTTATGCAAACTTGCGATTCTCCAGTTCAGTGCAGGTGTGATAAGCATGAACCCACCGAAGTGAATTGCAGAAATACTGGTTTAGTTTCTGTGCCTGAAGATGTACCCATCAAAATCGTCAAACTGTGAGTTTCTTTTTCCTTTTAATTGATTATACGTATTTTTCTTTAATAATAACAACTATAGGTTAAGTAATTAAGTCTTTAAATAATAACAGTAATTAAAATACACTTTAAGCAAGCGACTATAATTTTTCAAACTCAAGACATTTAGATTTCTAGGAGGAATCAAGCTAACTGATACCTCTAAACTAATTTCGAACATAAATTTTCTATAAAAGAAAAATAATTTTAAATAAATATTGTATATTATCAGTCAATATGTACTGAGTAAGCTCGAAAAATTGTCAATTTTTTCTTCCATGAATACATTTTTATATTTAGATGATATATATATGATTAAACTAAGAATAAATTATTTGATAAAATACAAATGACATACTATATTTATATGAGGTCGGTATTTTCAACAATTTATTATATTTGTTCTGTACAAATAAGATGATATATATCTCAGTCAACATCAATGCTTTCTTTGATTAGCTCGGGGTTAGGCATTATAGAATAACATTTACCTAAGACCTCAATCATCAAGTAGAGCAATTAAAAGGTTACCTCAAAAAAATTTATGTTTGATGTCATTCAGTTGAAAAGTTATCTAAATTTTATAACTTTTATTAATGACTCTTTATTAAATGATCAGTGTACTTGATGAAAATAATAATAATATTATCGAAGCTAGAAATAAGATACCAAATAATTTATAGGTTGCATAAAAAGTTTTATAATTTTAAAATACTTAGTAGACGTATAAAAATATTATTGACATTTATATAACCAATACTATTTATTATAATTTACTAAAGTGAAAAAATTTTAATAAAATTACTATAACTAAATAGGGTTTTGACTGATTTTTATTTCTCTCATCGCCCCCTCAATTATTTAATAATATGTACATTTTTGTGTATCGATTCAAAACTGTTTAAACTCTAAAAATATGTTTGTACTTTAATTTTTATGCATTATTCGGAGATATTAGTACTATTTAAACAAATGAAATAAGCAAAAAAATATAAAATATTTTATTTGTATAATAAATAGAATCTTGCTAATTTGTAAAATGTAATAAAACGGTAATGACATACTTTGAAAGTCAAAAAAATTTGACCATATATAATTTGATAGTGTGTGTTGATTTGTTAACATACAATCTTTATATAGGCGAGTGATTCACGCTAATTTTAAAGAATACCTATGATGAAATAATATGTAAAATATACTTATATTATTACTAACAGAGTATGTTCAACTATTCTTATTGAATGACTACTGACTAAATGAATTTCAAGGAAGGGCACTAATTTTTTTAAGACCATAACTATATGAAACTACTTATATCTCAGAACATCTTAAACGCTTGTTTTTATTATGTAAACAGAGAATGCGCCACTAGGTAACAATTAAATTTACATTTTTTATTCAATCAAAAATACAATGTTACATTTGATATATTTCAACAAATTACACAAACTCTTCATACAATTGTTTTTCTGATTTCAGAGTTAACACGTAAATATTTTTAATTAGTAGTAAAATAATAAAATTACGTTTAATAAAGCATGTGTACTACTATCAAAGTTTTGTTTTATAATTAACGCAAGTGATTATTGATGAAAGAATTTTTTTAATTGATTATTAAGAGAAAAATGTTCACAAAAGCCTCTTCCCAGTGATGCATATTCTCAAAATTAAATAGTTATCTTTTCTCTATTGTTAAATAATATTGGAAATAGGTATTCCTTAAATCGTTTTTCTTTAATATTGTTTTGACTAAAATAGTCTTAAATTTTTTTTGTAAACATAAAATTAGTATTAAAATACGATGAAATAGAATAATTTTGTAAAAACCTGATTATTTTCTTGATTATTTCATTTTTTTTTATGATAAATTGTAGGACTAGTTTGACAAGATAAGTTTGTTATAAACTATATTTATTTTTTGGAAATAATGGTTGATTTCATGCATTGTTCAAACTGTTGTAAGAATATAGAAAACAGTGGTACAAAACTTTATCTCTTGTAGTGTCTGTTGTGGACTAAAAAGTGATGAATGACGGGTTGCGGTTTTGGCTACTGTACATTCTATTAAGACTGACGACCAGTTAAATTTTTGGCATAATGCACATATTTAAAATATCAATAATAATAAAAAAAACGTGACAGGGATCGTACGTGTTTCAATTTCACACTTTATTTTTCCTTAAAAATCGTTTCTTTTGAAAAGCCTGATCGGAATTATTAAATTTTTGTGTGTTTGAAGCAATAAGGTAATGTCAGATTTATATCTATTTAAACTTTTTTCTTATCTTATTATTATGACATTTTGAAATATATATATATATATATAATTGTAAGCTATACTTAATTTAATTGGATATATTTATCGTGTATTGAATTTTTATTTTATTTATCAATAATTTATTAGTATTATATCCAAAATTATAATTTTTTATTCCATTGAGCTCTTTGCTTATATTTTCTTTAACTTAACTTTTTTGAAATCATAAAATTATAGAAGAATAAAAATTATTTATTGAACTCGTTTTGCTTTTACAAATAAATAGTAATTAGTGGAAGCATAATCTTTATTTCATTAGAATACAAAAATATAAGTATATTTGCTAGCCAAATTTGCATAAACCATAGCAAATAATACAAAAGCCTTCCGAATAGTTGTTATATAACTGAACTATTTCTTCGGTGTTCAGGTTTCGTTATAATAGCGTATCAGGATTTTTCATATGTGCATGAATCTACATTTTTTTTTAACGATTTTAACGAAATTAGTTTGTTTTTTTTTTAAAGAACTCTTATTCTTTTACCATGTATTCTCTGGAGACCTAAGACATATTTTCCTCTTGACTTTAACACCAAATCATCAAATTATTTTCGCGACATTTAGGGTTAAGAGCCTCATTTTACATCGATTACTCTGTTGAGTAAAGGGGTATAGAAAAAATCTGTACTGTAGTCAACCCCCCAAGACATCCAATGGTTGCTTTATATTCAAGACATTACTTCTTAAACGATATCTCGGCACTTCTGTAGATTAAAAACAAAAAAGTTCAAGCAGCAAAATAGAATCGGCTTTTTTATCCTATCTTTGGAAAAGTTGGTTTTTTTATACAAAGAGAATGTTGTTTTGGTCATAGACATTTGTTTTATATGAACAACAGTTTTATGTACAAAGTAGTCATACACGAGTTTCATTTCAGTGATGTATGGGATGTAAATTTTATTACCGTAGACATAACTAAAAGAAAAATATTTTCTTTTCTTAAAAGCAAAGTTTAGACCTAATATGAAATTCTTAGAATTTGTTAAAAGTATATTTCGAGTAATAGTATGACAGTGCTTTTGTCACCACATTAAACTAAGTTTTTTCGACAGTGATATATTTATATAATATTGCAGAATCTAATAAAAAATTACGAGAAGCCAAAAAAATGTGTTGGCAACATTTTGATACGTTCAAAGATTTTGAGGTGTATCAAATTGAACACTAGTTACAATTAAAAAAAAAATACTAATGATTTAAAAGAAAATGAACTAAAATTAAAATATGCACGAGCTTTAATAATAGACAGGTAGCTGTTCTTACTAGGTTTTATTAACTATTTTAAAATAACCAACTGTCTCGGATAAGTAGTTGTATTATGAGTACATTACATACAAGTTTATTAAATATATTTTTACTCGTCATTTATATTTATAGAAGTATGATTCGTTGGTTGTGTCCCTGTGATATAGTTTGATGTTTGGCCTCGATCTCCTGTGCACATTTTCATGTAATCGCATTAACAGAGCAAAGTGAGTCGGCGACCTAAATCACACGCCGATGTGACTCCCCATGTTTTGTACGGTATTGTGCAACACCCGAGTAATTCTATTATTGGATAATTTTTATTATTTTTATAAGCAGTACGAGTAAACATTATTATTGACTTCCATGTATGCAATATTAGATCTATATATATATATATATATATTATTAATGTTTATAGTTTTAATGAAGTATAGTGGTTGTTTAATTTTTATGTAGGACCTAAAAATCGATCCACTGACCTTTCGATTTAATAAGCAATTAATGGCATAGTTGAGGGTCACGACCGTAAAGCTTAATGTGTGTGCTAACGTTTAAAATTATTCTAAAACCCCAAACAACAATGAAATTGTCTATATATTTATTATTTATATGTATACCACGTGCTTGAGGGCTGTGGAATGTCATAGAAAGGATATAACCCCATTGTGAGTGTATTCCTCACGTGTTGTGGCCTTCGTCGTTGTAAGTGTGGGGGTTCTTATTAAACTGTTTTAAATGCTGAACTTCTCGAATAAATTATCAATATATTTATGTAATAATTGTGTATTACGTATACTATGTTTTACTCATAATCCACTGAGTTCAACTCATTGTTGTTATTTATTTCAGTAATTCAACTATTTTAATATTTTGTTGCTTACAAAAACAATTTACTTCAAAACTTTGGTTAACATTAAGCAGAAAAAGTATATAGTGATAACAGTACACAACCAACAACTTTAAAGATCATTTAATAATTATTTACTCGATTAATTGTGTATTTATTTCTATAGCCGCAAGGTATTGTTTTGGAAAACAAACATTTCCAATCGTGTTATACCATTGCAGTAAGTTTATTAAATCAATAATTAGCTGCCTATAATGAATAAGAAAATTAATCATTTAGGTTGATTTAAGTTTTAATAGAATTATGATGAATTAAAAGATCCTTTTCATTCAATTATTCTGGTGTGTTTATCAAAGTGTAACCAAATGTGGTTCTCCTTAAAAGCTGCACTCAAATGTTTTGTGTACAGGTGTGTTTAACATCATGTAAATTGAATCACTTCCGCCTTTAGAAACTATATGTATAGCTTTCTTTTATCAATTTTATTCCATTTCAAATATACATTGCCTTTATGTAGAATATTAATAAATTATAGTTAAATTTTACATTAGGTGTTCATAAAATAAGATA